CAATAATTTTGTTTTAGTTCATCGACATGTGAGTTGGAGGCCATTTAAACCTTGATACATGCTTAACTATATATATAGATTGACTTAAACCATGAATTTTATCTCTTTTCCACTTTTTAGTATGAATTATGTTGATTTTTCTAAGAACCAAAAATTCGATTCGATTCGTAGGTTAAATGAGTTTTTGGTTGATTCAACCCGAACCGGACCGAACTAAACATTAAATAGATAAACAAATATATATCTTTACATACATACATATTCTAATTTATTTTCTCAAGCGCCCCCTTATCTCCTACCTTCGTCTCCCACCTCCCTCCCTCCTTCTCTCACCTCCGATTCCTCAGTCTCAATCTCATCTCTCACTCTTGATCTCACCATCCTCACCTCTCCCACGATCTCAAATTCTCATCTCACTCACTGTCTACTTCTCTTAATTTCACGATCGTCAGTCAATTTTTGACTCGCCACTATTTGTTGTTGCTATTCGCTGTTGCTCGTCATTATTCGTTGTTTTCTGTTGCTAGACACTGTCATCCGCCCAACCTAGTTCTCACCTCTCAAAATAAAAGAAAAAATAAAGAAAAACTGGAATCCAGTGACCCAACCTAACCTGAAATTATATGGTTGAGTTGGCTATTAGTTTCGGTTTCATTGGGTAGATGAACTAATCAACTGGGGTCCCAAAAACTACTCTAACCCGATCCAACCCGATTTGTGAACACCCCACATTTTATTATATATTATTTCATTACTATTTTTGTGTGTAAGTTTAGATTTGCAAATATATGTATTTTTTTTTCTTAAACAATTAGTTCGTCAACCTAGCTAATAGTATTTTCAATTGAACTATTTATTTTAAAAGCAACTCAAATTGAAGATAGGTCGTAAATAGTTTTTCAAATTTGTACGTTAACCTAACTAATTAAATTAAAATATAAAACATTTCCAATTCATTTAATTAATATTAATTTAATATCACATTATCAGTTAAATAGTTAAATATGTATTTGGTCTTTTTAGTCCAAACTCAATTTGACCTAACTACATCAATTAAGTTGCATGTACCTTTTTTTTTAATTCTTTTATTATTTAGTAATTCATTATCCAAGATCTCAGTTTCCCTTGTTCATCAAGTGTTATTATTTTTATTATTTCAATAATTTAGTTTGTAAAGTCCTTAATTGCATTACTATTTTTTAGTAAACAAATAATTAAAATTTTCTTCTTAGGCCTTATGAATTTAGATTAAAATGTTATCCATCATTAATTTTTATTCATTCGATCATTATCAAGATATACATATATAGAGGATGAAATTTTGATATTTTTAATAATGAGAAAGATTTAATATATTTTAAAACCTAAATATTTAGTAAATAAATGCAATGCAAAAACATACTAACATCAAAACGTTGCTCCCTTCAAATAATATCACAACATTTCCAAGACAAAATGCGACTAAAAGATTATCCATTTCTGAACAAAAAAAAAATAATAATAATAATTTAATGAATTTTCTATTTTATTAACTAACAAATTGGTTATTTTAATCAATATTTTGTGGAAAAAAAACATCTTTTTAAAAAACAAAATATTAGGTTTATTTATTTATTTATTGTTGTCAACACAATTTTAGTACAATAAAGGTGAGATATAGTAGATTGAACTTGAAAATGGTTCAAAATGCATTAATGTCAATCATATTCTATTAAGCTATATATATCTTATTTTGCAAATATAAACTTAACCTAGTAGTCAAGGTACTGTGCCAATTCTTTAGAAGTTGGAGGTTCAATATCTCATTCATATATTTGTTGTATTAAAAAAAACTATATATATAGAGTATGATTCAAACCTCTAATCTTCTGAATAAAGAATTAATAAGTTGACATTCAATTAAAAATTTGAATGAATTAATTTGATTAAAAGTCCCAACTTGGTCCTGATTGTTCTAAAAGATCTGGTAAAATGAATATTTAGTATTATAGAGTAAAAATCCAATTTTAAATTTTGTTGAAAGATTAAATTAAAACTTTTTAAAAAGATTAAATATCAAATTGAAAAACAAAGGTAAAAAAGTCTGCGTGACATAACGATGGGACAAGATAAAAGGATTTCCATTGGGTGTGGGGATTTGAGAATATTTTTTTATAAAATTATATCATAAAAAGGACATTCTTTTTAAAGGTTGTGGGGTCTACAAAAGGTAGAAAATTATTCAAACCACGTGGCTCAATCTTGGTGGTCCTAGTGCCTTTTCAATTAGATTGTAAATTTGCTAATCCAGCCAAACAGTTGAAAACAAACATAAATTAAAAAGAAAAACCTCTTAATTTAAAATAGAAAGTGAAAAAAAAAAACTCATACCTTTATAATTCTAATTTTGGTTCATTTGGATCTAAAAATAGATAGACTCTCACAGTTAGTATTCGACTTGATAATTGTAATTACAATGTGATACTTATCTCCATAGGGTAATAAGTTAGGTTAAAAATAGATAGAATTTTTTTTTCAGGAGAAAAATGACTAAATCCGATCTATACACTCTAAGAGAGAATAGTTTGCATGTACCTAAAAGAGAGGCGAAACTCCTTATTTTATAGATTTTGAATTTCCAACATCGTTTGGAGAACGATTACGACCGTCCCGAAAATTACAATATGTTGTTAGAAAAGCGCGGTTCAATGTAACAACATGCAATGTTGTGATCATCAGCTCGTCTCATGTCCCATATGAGGATTGGGCATTGAGACCTGTGTTGGTTAGCTTGACCCTTAAGAAGTTCTGGACGACCTATACTTTATACATCGGCTCAACCAAAAAAGGTGACAAAGTTGTTTATTCTCCTTTAAAAAGTTTGGCCTTGAGGCTGCGTCATTATGATGACTCAACACTTTTCGATAAATAATACATTGACACGTGGCATGTGATAAATTATCTCCTACAACTTTCAACTAGGAGGTTCATAAAAAATAATATTTTATTTTATCTCAACTGATCGAGAATAAAAATTACAATTTAAAAAAAAATTAAAATTGCTTATAGATGAGATATTATTTTTAGGGCATTTAAATTATTGTATTTGGTTTATAAAATTGTAGCCCACACAATTCAATTTTATGTCAAATAGGGTCAAATAGATACTTTTTCAAATTATTAGACATAATATTAAAAATTCCGAGACGTAAAGTGTTTAACATGAGACTTTACAAGTGATTTTAGAGGAATAAAAAATATTTTTTCTTTAAGAGTCTATAAGAGTGGTTTGTTACATATGAATATCAGTTTTTAAATAATCAAGTTGGTTTAAATTTTTTTAAAGAAATAGTTTAAAATTGATTATAAAAAAGAAAATTGACCCGAAATGGATTTAGGTTAATTTACTATATGTAGAATCATTTATCCGCAACAAAACAAGTAGCAGAAAAAAAGTGTCCACGTCAGAGAAAGGCGAGGCCACATGAAAACTACCACTTGTGTTAAGGGAGGGCCCACGACAACCCATGTTGGGTTAAACTAACCATAGTCGGCGGTTAAACCCAACGTCACTTCTCTCTCCTATATATACCCCTCCACTCTCTCTCCCTCCTCTCCGCTCCTCTCTCTCTCTCTCTCACTAAATTCTTCAAAAAAATTTACGTCTTGTCGTCCCTTCCCTTTCTCATAGTTCCCATCACAACCACACCAGTCGTCCGCTGCAGAACGACATATATTCCCACTTCGTTTTATAGTTAGTTAACTAACGCTTTTTTTTCTTTCCCTTTTTACCCCTACTCCCTCCCCTAATTTAACCTCCCTGTCCCTGCCACTGAAATATGATCACGTTGAAGGA